CTCAACATATTCTACTTCATAAAAGTGAAAGCCTTGAGCTTCTTGAAGAAAAATAGGGATAAAAGAATATGCTACTGTTCTGTTCAAGTTGTTCTGGTTGTCAGTATAGTACAATAATGATATTGATAAATAACTTGTCTTTGATAGAATCTATAAATGATACCAGTGTTCAAATGGTGCAGGAATAGCATCAGTAATAGTTTTTGTGTGAAAACACTGCAGAATTGTAGAATTAATGTTCCAGGAGCTATTCAAGATGGAATATTTCCAAACACTGTTTGGTTAAATAGTTTGCTATTGCCATTTTTAATTTCTTTCTTTTGAATTACTTGTATGGATTTAATTGTTGATAATTTGGTCTTGTTATGATTTACAGTATTTTATTTATTTTTCATTATCAGCATTATTATAATGTATACTTGTATTGTCATAACTTTGATTAGTTATAGGTTATTTTAATTTAACTTCTCTCATTTAATATTTACCATGAATGTTTTAATTCTTGTGGATGAATGAATAAATAAATTCCTGAAGGTAACAATGACTTTGAAGACACGGATGCTATTTCCATTGCTGGTGGTGTAAATATGTGATTTTTCTTGAATAATTGTTGGTATTATGCAGCAATGTAATATTTGATTGTACAAACTGTTCATAGTAGAGTTTGCCTTTTTTGCCTAAATTTCAACTATATCTCATATGAATGTAATTTTCAATGTTTAATTATAAACTTTAATGGGAAGGTGATTGCCTTGAAAGTCAGTAGAAAATATACATTCCTTAAATAAGAACATTTCATTCAAGTTAAATAAGTTTAAAACTGCAACATATTCTAATCATGAAACTCCACTTAAAATATGGCTAATTGGGAAGGGGGAAGCTCATATGGTCAGTGTAAGACTTAATAAGCTACTTGTAATCAGAGAATCATAATGGAAGTATGTATTTTTTAAGTATTTTCTGAAAATGGTCAAATATCAAGAGCCTAAGTTGTACCACTTCACTACAGGACTTTGGTCCATCTGTTTCAATGCTGAATCTCCTGCCTTTTCTGACTCACAAATTCTCATTTTGTGTTTTCTCTGACAGAAGGAGCTGGTAGCAGTGGGCTCAAAACAACGGCTTATAGTGGAGGGAGTGGCATGGAAAAGAGGACATATGCTCATGGCAGCAGCAGTTATGTCACAGCTAGTAAGTGGTTTTCAATCTGAGAGCAAATAAAAAGAACGTAAGTGAAAGCCATATATGGAAATGGGAAGGTCAGAGAATGGATGGATCACAGAGATGCTAACTGTTGGAAAATGACAGAAGTGGGAAAAAATGAGATACTGTTTGGATTCTTTGCTAAAGAGTGCTTATGACAAAAGTACAAAGATACAGCTTACAGATATTGGGTGACATTTCTTAAGTGGGACGTTGCACAGTTTATTTTTACAGGAAATGCTACCATTCATTAGTAGTACCTTGTAATCTTGATCACAGTTATCTTGATTATCTGTTTTGGGTTCTGCAAACAGAGACTTACAACAATCAAGTGACAACTGCCCCAAAATAATTATATATATTATGCATGCATGCTTACTGGTTTACTCTGAAATTACTTAGCTAAAAGAACAAAAAAGGTATTATTTGTCCATCCAAGAATACTGTAGTAGTCTACTGGTCCCTCTGTTGTCTGCTGGAGAATCCGGAGTATCCTGTTCTTAACCTTCATCTTTCCCAAACTGGCACCCTGCAGAAGTATTTACACTCCAGAATTCTTAGCAGTGTCAAAACCAAAACAATCACAAAAAGCAAAGGCAAACCTCCAAATAAAACCCAAGAGAGGCACCTACTGTATAGTGAGTCAGCTGTGACCAAATATGCATTGAAATAATCAGTTTTAACCTCATTCTGGATCTGCAGCAAGGTGGGGGGCTGCATGTGCTTCTAGGGAGAGAACATCTACAAGGTGGTGGCCATTACAGAGGAGGCCTGCTGACCATTTCACCCACATCCTGCAAACTTCATGAAGTGAGGGAACTTTGAGCAGGCCCTCTCTGTTACTGGACTGGATGAGCAGATTTAGTTCTGGCAAGGCATTGCCCGATAGATCTCAGAGCTGTGTCACTTAGGGCTTTAAAAGTAATGACCAGCACTTTGAATTGGGCCTGGAAGCCCAATTCAACCAATGCACTGACTTTCATATGGGCATAATTCTATACTGGCAGGGTTACTGCTGTATTTTGCACCAGCTGCAGTTTCCTGTTATCCACCCATTATTCTCATCTTGACAGATATCAGTCATCCTTCAGTATGGAGATCTGACAAAAATCTAAAAACATTTAAACAGGGACTAAGGATTTTGACAAGCCACATATTAAATAAATTATTCCAAGTATGCCTTGTGTTTAATTATGCCTCTATTCCTTATATTGAAATACTGTAAGCCCATTATTCATTAAATCTCTATGCATATTTGGCCTTTGATAGATGGATGGACGGACGGACGGACGGACAGACAATAGATAGATATATCAAATTGTCTGTTTAAAAGCTATTAGAAATGGGAAACAAAACTGAACTTTCCACCAGTAAGAAACTACAATGATTATTCAAATATATAAATCATTGGGACACTGTTTGGAACAATGGTTAGAAATGTGTTAATGGATTATTTTCCAGTTTCTGCTCTATGTGTCAAAGTAGCCACAGCTCCCTTCTTTTTAAGAACAGCATGTTTAAAGCTTAGAATGTGATGGGCAACTCATTTTTCTAAAGTCTAACACAAATTATTGAGAAGCTAAAATGTTTCTGAAACCCCTTAGTAACTTTAAATCAGTGTTTCTTAAACATTTTGCTCTCAGGACCCCTTCCCACTTTTAAAAATTATGGGGGACCCCAAAACAGCTTTTATTTATATGGGTTACATTTATCAATATTTACCATATTAAAAATTAAAATTGACACATTCATAGAATATTTATTGAATTGGGTAAAAATAACAATATTAAACCCATTAGATGTTAACATAAAGTATTTTTCATGAAAAAAACATTCATTTTCTTAACAAATAAGAAAAATAATGAGAAGAGAAATTTTTGCAAATATCTTTAATGTCTGGCAAATAATTTTGATTTTGCAGACCCTTGAGAGGGCCTTGGGGATTCCCAGGGGTCCTCAGACCACGCTTTAAGGAACAATGTTTTAGATTAACCCAGACAGACATCTGATAGCATTTAAAGGTCTAAAGTTACATAATGTTCCCAGGCCTGGAGGTAGTGTATTTGTGTAGCCCCTAACATGTTTTGTATTGTGTTTCACTGGTATGCTTGTTTTTAGTCTAGGCTGCCATGTTTGCTTCATGTGTTTTTTTAGCTGTTATTTGATTTTGATAAAATTAATAAATAATCAAATTTGGAATAAGATGGCTGGCATCCTGAATGACCTCAGGAAAAACTGATATTAGGGCATTGTTCAAAATAAGCAGATGCTAATTTGATGAGTCCTTTTGAGGAATATATTAAGAGTCTTATTCCACAGCAGTATGTATGTACATAATACAGTATATATCACAGTAAAAGAATGTGTGTTAATATATAATATCCGCTATATACGTAAATGCTATACAACTGTTATAGTTACATTGCTATATAGATGTTATCTAACACCTAGTATATATTATCTCAGAGGTAAATCTCAATGAAGCAGTCTTAACTACCCTGGATTGACTTCTTTGTTACTCTTTATTAGTCTGCACATCAGATAGCTCATGTATAAACTGATTTTTCCCCCAAGGAAACGACTGAGACTAAAAAGGTTTAAGAAAAAGACCACAACTTTTAGTTGTCAAAAATTACTTTGAAAATAAACTATAAGTGTCATTAAATATTTTGATCAATGGATTTTTGCTATACATTTTGTATGCTTTATTTAATACAGAAGTGAGCCAACAGTCAGTGTCTACTGAACAACTTTAATTCCTCTGTGTTTCACAGGCTACTCACTCATTTTGACAAAAATTACATCTTCAGGGACACCAATTGTAGGATGATCTTTCTAGAATTAGACAGATAAAATTCACGTCATTGTGGATATATAGAGAAGACAAACAAGTGGACAATTAATTGAAGAGACATATCATTTCCCACACAATTCAGTCCACCAAATGTGAATCTGAGGAGGTTTTGTTTCATCTATAGGTGGAAATGCTAGAATGAATACCTCCTCTTCCTCCTACAAGCAAGCCACCTCTCCTTCTTCCACTCTTACCAAATCACCTGGCTCAACTTTTGAACGAAAAACCTATGCTACCCACCATCCAGCATATGAAGGTATCACAGTATCAAATAAACAGGGTTAGGATTATTTTAACTGATCATCCCAACTTTCCTTAGGAACCAGCTAGTGTATAATTGCCCTTTTCAGTTATTTTGGATCTATCTGTTGTTCAGTAGAACAGTTCCATTCATGATCTTTGCAGCCATATGCATTAAGATACAGTTTGCTAGTATAATATTCCAACTATGATATTAATTCATCTCTCTTTCATTGAGACAATATACTCACTTCTGTTTGCAGACTAATTAATAAATCTTCTGCATATGTTCTTCAGACATGATTTAAGTTTCAAAATAAAGCTCTAGATACTTTATTACATCTTGTCATGTGATGGCAATTCAGTATATTGGACTAAACTACTTAATAAAGTTTTCAAATGATTTTCTTTTTCAGGAAGCTCCAGTGCAAATTCCTCTCCAGAGTTTCCACGCAAAGATTTTGGTACATTTTCCATTTTTAAGAATTTCCTTATTCTATGCTGAAATGAATTATGAAAATGATGCAGATTTGCCCACATTTCTTACATTGTGTTCTAAATACAACAGCACCCTCTTTGTAATAATTGCTTCCAATAGTATGCCACTGAACTATAATTTTAAATTCCATTTGGAGTGGCAAATGAATGAACACCACCTTCTCTGGTTTTTATTTAGAAAAGATAATTTACCAATTTCTTGATTATTCACTATTATTATTCATAGCATGTTGTTTTCTTGCCTAAAGTAAAGACAGAGTAACCTGAGCATCAGTTCAGTGGTACCATTTGTAATCAGCCCCACAAGCAAATATGAACACTATTAATAGCCAATGAAGAAAAAGTCCAAAAAATCAACAATCTTATATTACTTTGTAACTCTATAAAATCATTCCTAGAAATAGCTCTATTTTAAGCTAAATTGGGATATGTTAGCTGGTTGTTGGTTTTTTAAGCCAAGATCATAGATCCTGAAGACCTGCACTGGGAATCTAAGTTGATTCATATATATTGGTTATTTTATATATTTATATAAATATAAACTGAGCAATTGCTCAGTTATGTTTTTAGAGATCTACTTTCAGTTTTTCAAATCAAATTTCAAAGAGTGATTCTTTTACAGGTTCTTCTGCTACCAGGGGACGAAGCCAAACCCGAGGTAAGATCCCCTAGATGCCTAGTGATACACTGAGCCACAAACGTGTTGCCATGTCCCAAACTATTCCTGAATATTCATTCCATTTTAAAAAGGTGGATTGATATTTGGAACTGCAAGTTGTTGTTGAAGAAAATTCAAAGAAACTAAAATGACCAGGTTTGCTGATCCACAGAAAATTTATCTGAATATTCAGTTTTTCCTGTCTAGTTTGACTGTACTGTATTTATTATCCTAGCATTGCTTTTTGCTTTTGGCTACTTTGCCTAAATGTACTTCATTTATGATGCTTCAAGTTCAATGACCTTTGAATAATTATATAAAAGCATCTCCACATAATCATGTGGTCCCACACTTCAATAGTATCATCAGACTCTTGGCTGCTTCCTAAAATTGAAAGCACAATTTTCCTAGAAAATCTCTAGCAAGATATAGTAAGGGAAAGTCATTGGAGTTACAGGAATTTCAGCAAGTGAACTATTTCCCAACATCTAATCAATGTATATCCCACAATATACATTAAGACAGAGTGTTCCTTGCTTTCTTTTTTTTTACTTTCCTTCTCTGAACTGGCAGATCGGTTCACTGATAAAGGAACTAGAAGATGGATGTTGATAAAACTGACTCCTGAATCCTTATCAGTATGGGAGCCAACAATTACAAGTAATGGACAAGTAGGAGGAGGAAGTTAAAAAGAAAGAAGCCAGATATAACTAAATATAATGAACTAGATCATGCTCATCTGTAGCTTTGTGGAATATCTTAAAGTTCAACACTAAATACTGCAACTTTTGGATATCAAGTAACCAACACATCTCCTTTAAAATGAGCCTTTTGTTTCCTTTTGTCTTGCGCAGAGAGTGAAATCCGAGTGCGGTTGCAGAGTGCTTCTCCATCAACCAGGTGTAAGTGCTTTAGCTGTTGTCTGTGTTCCTAATTTGAACAAAGGTAGCTGAATCTTTGGTAAACAATTCATAATTGTCATCAGTAATCTTTTTCTCCAACTACAATTCCCCGCCCAGTATGTCATATAATATTTTAATAATCAGAGTAACCGATTGTTCAGAAATGATGAACAGGAATAGGTAGCAAGAATAATTATAGTGGCAGCTGAATTATATATGCCATGATCACAAAGACAAAGGAATACTAATATTATAACAGGCAGCTAACACAGAATCAAGTTCCCTCTCACTTAATGTTCAAATTCATCCATCCATCGAAGCCTTTCTCATTGGTTCTGGATCCATCTGTTTGTCAAAATATAAAGCCTTGCGCTTAGTACTGAGATCAGTTCATTCGATTAAGCAGTTCATTGTATTTTCAGCTGAAATTTATATTTGAAGACAATCGTTGGAGTTAAGTTCCCAGTATCTTTTTTCTCCTTCAGGGACAGAATTAGATGATGTCAAGCGACTGCTGCGGGGAAGTCGATCGGCAAGTGCTAGCCCAACTCGTTCCCATTCAGGCACACTCCCTATTCCAAAGAAAGCTGTTGTTGAAACCAAGATGGTGACAGAAAGCTCCCAGTCAGGTACACTGTTGCTTAATCTGACGAACTAGAAGACCATAGAGGAGCTTGAACTGAATTGAATTGAAGTCTTCTTGTTCAACCTCCTGCCCAGAGCAGGAATTCTCAGTTCATCTCAGACAAATGGCTGTCTAAATTTTGCTTGAAAACCTCCAGTGATGGGGCACCCATGACACTAAAAAGCAGGCTTTCCCACTGCTTAATAGTTCTCACCATCAGGAAATTCCTTCTTATTTCAAGTTTGGATCTCCCTCTGTAAAACTTCCACCCATTGGTTCTTGTCCTACCCCTGGAAACTATGGAAAATAAATCCACAACCTCTTCTTGTGACTGTCCTTTAAATATTGGAAAACTGCTATTATGCCTCCCCTTAGCCTTCTGTTCTTTAGGCTAAGGGGAGGCATAATATAGGCCCCTACCTATATCTTATTTACAGGCCATCGCAATATTACTAAAGAAAGTCACAACTGATCACAGTAATGGCCAAAGCATTTTACTGCTGAAGCAAATGACATAATGGTATCTACCCACATTCTTTGTACAAATGCTAACTAGTGTGGTACCTTAAATATAGAGCATCCTTCCCTAAAACCTGAGGGTATTAGGTTATTTCAGAGGCAGATACAGCCATGCTGTCCACATTCTTACCACTGACTCCCAGCCCCTGTGCCTGAATTAACTGCTTCACTCTGCCAAATGGTGAAGGAAGCCATCCTGATCATAGATGAAGGGAAACCCTAACCCTAACCCATATCCTGGTGGCATCTGATGAGCGAAGAGAAAGATTGCTAGAAGGTAAAACATATAGCAGCTTGCTGCAAATTAAGCACTATTGATTTGAATTCCCCTCACATAAATTTTATTTCCTTGCCTGGCATTTCTGGGGAAGACGTTAAACTAAAAGATCTTGAATGGCAGCCAGACCCTCATTTGCAGAATCCACACTAGTTCTGCAGTATAGACATTAGAAAACTATGCACAGTAGTGCAGACTTACCTCAAAATGCCAAATTCTCCCTTCCCACAAATAAATATATACTGATAGGAACAATCCCACTCCCAAAAATGGACAGGTCATTCATATTTTGCAAAGTATATTTTTATGTTTTAAGCAATAACTCTATGAGTACTGGAAATTTACTTTGGTCCTACATATTTCTAGAAGTTACGATTCAATCTTTGGCTTCACAGTTTGCAATTACGAATAAGGAAAATCCACAAAAATGGTGGATGATATCACATGGTCATTGGAATATCAACAGAATAGTTGGATGAGGGATATAGGAATCTGCAGCTCAAAAGCTTAAAATAGTAATAGTCCATTTAAGCAAGATTCCTAACAATAACAGATATAGGAAATGAAGCAGAATAAAATAAAGGCAGGTTTAGAAATTTGGGATTAAATAACAATCCAACTGTCCCCCTTACCCAAGCCCTGAGACCCATCCTGCTATTATTTGTTGTCTTTTATTGGTGTTGTTGGGAGGCTTGTGTCAGTAAAAGTGGTGAGCAGTGATATTATATTAAGGATAGGATCCTGTGGTCTTCCAAATGCTGCTGAACTACTAAATCCATCATTATGCATTATTGGCCATGATGGCTGGACCAGCTGGGAGTTTGGGTTCAAGAACATTTTGAAAACCACAATTTCCCCATCCACTTATTAGGTGAAAATCTTCAGGAAAGGCCTGAGTGTTTATTGCTGACAGAAAAGGAATATAAGGAAGACCCAGAATGTGTTTGAATTATGCAAAGGAGCTGCATCTCATTCTGAATTGCAAGACCACCAAACTACTATGTACTGTCCAGCTGTGTGATTAGGATCCACTGTTTGTTTTTAATACTTTAGAACCTTATGTTCTAAGGTAATCCAAATTTTTCCTCCATAAAACAGGGCTATATATTTTTTTAAATTGATTATGTCATCAAGTAAGTGTCAACTGTTAGCAACTACGTAGATAGATTTTCTCCAGGATCATCTGTCCCCAGCCTGATCCTTCAGATCTTCCAACAATGTGCCCATTGCCTCTGTTATTTAATTCATCCACCTTGTACCTGGTCTTCTTCTTCTCTTCCACCTTTCCAAGCATTATAAACTTCTCCAGAGACCTAGGTCTTCACATAATGTGTCCAAAATATGATAATATGAGCCTGGTCATGTGTGCCTTGAGTGAGAACCTCTGGATTGATTTGTTCTATTATCCACATGTTAGTTTTCTTAGCTATCCATGATATGCTCAGGAGGCTTCTCCAACAGCAAAGTTCAAAAGCATCAATACTCTTTCTATCCTGGTTCATCAAAGTCCAACTTTACTTCCATAAGACTAAAATGTTTACAAAAATCAGGTAATACCAGGATTTTACATGTTATACTATTTTGTTATATGAAAGGAACATCAAAAAAATCCCTCTTATTACTATACAGTATACTATTAAAATCCGATTTGGGATAATGTTCTTTGATTTTCCTCCAGTGTCAGGGACTTACGACACAACTATCTTGAATGCTGCCCTCCCATCATACATGTGGTCCTCCACCCTGCCTGCGGGGTCATCTCTTGGTGGCTACCATAACAACATGGCCCAAAGCTCATCTTTGATCAACACTGCAGCCCATTCTACTGGATCAGGTATGCATCCATTTATAGAAGTCTCTGCAATGCTGGGCTGCCCAAATGATGCTGTTGATGCCTTGTGCTAGTATCTGGAGGCTGTGTGGGTCTGGATGGGAAGGAACAGACCCAGGCTCAATCTTAACAAGACCAAGTGGCTGTGGGTATTTTTCCCCCCTCATCCTGATAGACCTTCCCTTTCTAGATTTGGATGGGGTTGTACTTCTCCACTCAAGACTGGTGTGCAATCTGCAGTTTTTTGGGATTCACAACTCCTGCTCAAGGAACAGAGAGCAGCTGTGGCCAAGGGGGCCTTCATATTGATGCATCCTTATACCTGTTTCTGGATAGGGAAGCACTCCTAATGGTCACTTACATCCTAGTCACCTAACAAATAGACTATTGCAATGTGCTCCACATGGGGCTGCCTTAAAGGCAACTCAAAAACTACAGCTTGTCCAGAATGTGGTGGCATGATCTGCAATATGATACCATTGTTCCACAGGCTTCCCAGGTTGCCACTTGGCTTATGGGTGAAATTAAAGGTGCTAGTTACCACATAAAAACCCCTTCATAGTATAGGTCCCAGTTATCTCTGTGACCAGCTATCTCCAATAATTTCTGCCCATCTAGTAAGATCCAGCAGACTGGCTGCCTTCCAAGTCCCTTCAATTAAATTAAATATCATGTTGAATTTCATGGAAGCTGTTTGAAAGCTTTGATCAATTAGCTGTTGATAATTTTGGTCAAAATAGAAGTGTCATGGAAAATAAGGAAGACTGACTGAGATGTGGGTAGAAAGGGCTGTGATTCTAAGAAAAGGGACTGTATCTGGGAAAGAGGGACCTGATGAGAACCTCCATATCATATGTTTTCCATGCTTTCTTTAGAAGCTGTGTCTTTTCTAATGGAGACACAATATGTCTGAGGTGTGACACAGCCAGTTTTCTTGTAGCTATTCCACCACCAGTATTGGGACTTTGGGTTGTGGTGGGGGCATGACTACATTTTCAACACTTTTTATTTCTGTTACTTTCCCCTGCAGTGTTTGGGGTTCCAAACAACTTGGCCTCCACTTCCTCTACTCTGAATGCTGGTCTCAGCAATTCTTCCACAGGTTTGTTTTCTCCATTCTTCTCTGTTTCAGGAAAAGGAGGCATAAGAGCATCTGTTATTGTTCTGTGTTCATATGTTCTATGTTGATGGCACAAGAGAGGAGGCATACCCAGAGATATTTTCCCTGCTTACTTGAAATCAATGCCTCAGTAAATACAGATGCTTGTATTTGGTATATACTGTATGTTTATAAATTTAATAACCTCTGGGGGAAAAAAACACCACTCCTTGAAATTGGTCTATTGATAAAAACCACAACTTGCAATATGGCATTGAGATGTATTCCTGAACCTGGGCGCTGAGATATTTTATAGTTATCCTTTCCTTAAGGCAAAAATTGCCAGTTTCCCTCCTTTATATAGTTTTGGACCAGGACTGATCATCAGCAAGAAATATTCCATGTTTTTCTTCTATACCTGGTTATAATTAAGCATTTCTAGATATTTTAAAGCAGCAGCAGCAGCTTTATCAGTGATGTACAGTAAAACAGTTAAAACTACCTATAAAACATGATAAAACTGTAAATAAAAACAAAGGTCAGCCATTAAACAGCTAATGTATCTTCTCCATTAATCTTACTCTAATGATTGTACAAATTATCACTGCCAGAAATGTTGGCATGGCACTGAGAAGGCAGAATTTTTCCATCTTTAATCTTGGAATTTCAAAGATAATTTCAGGATATTTCCTCATGATAAAAGTTGATTCCGGCATGACAGGAGAAGGAACAACATATGGCAAAGTAGGTTTGTTAACTAGCTACAATTCCATTATTTGTAGATGATTAATTTCAGACCATCCTTACAAAAACACTTTGGCTGTATTTATTTTTAAATGTGCTTTTATCTGACCCTCAGATATTTTCTTTGCAGTATATGGTGTTCAAAACAACCTGGCTCCAAACACACTTGGGGTCACCAATACTACAACCACAGCTTCCACAGGTAACAACACTTGGTGAAAATATCTGGAATCAGAAGCATTTTTGCTAACATTCATTTGCCTTAGAAATCATGGAAGAATATTGAAAAATTATTTCCTGTTACTTATTTCAAAATAGTGTAACTCACATAGATCTCCATAATGTAGCTCAAACAGGTCTACTTTGTCCCCAGTTTGTATATCCACTAATCTCAGTACTGTCCCCAGCTACTCTTTGTCTGAGTAACTCACTTGTAACTGGATAAAGAGTAGTTGGGGACAGGGACATAGATCAGAAATAAATAACACATTCTTTATTTAAAAACAAAACAGATTAAATCCTTGCAGTTTTGATTGGGTCAATCTTCTCTGTGAAACCTTCAAACCTAGTGGAGGAATGGGCTACATTTGTGGCCACCAAAGCCTCTACAGACCACAGCATTGAAATTCAGTGGTAAACCACCAGTTCAATCCCAACACTGAATTTTCAGTGGTAAACAAAAGAGCCGTGGATACATCATATAATATTAACTCAGCTAACAGCCCCCACTGCCCCTGCAGCAATGAAAGCCTGCACATTCCAGGTCCAGACGCTTATCAGCCTATCCTAATATAATTGTCATTGCTGACTACTTGACATAAAAGTTAGGATGCTTCCTGCTGAAAAAATGGGTGGATATCACCACACCATTTTGTCATCATTTTGTCATCATTTTGTCATCATCTGTTTGCTGTGGAGACCCATGATGACAAAGACTCTTATGGCCCATTAAAAAGGAACACATTTAACAACGGCATGCACTTCAAAGGACTAGAGCCCCCTTCATTAAATGTGTGGCATATGATCCGTAGGTGCCTAAGATTAAAGGAAAAAATGGCAATCAAATGCAAATACAGTGGTACCTCGGGTCACAAACACTTCTGTTCACGACCAATTCGGGTCACGAACAGCACCGTTCGCAAAATTTTGCTTCCGTTCG